CCGGAAATGAGATACGTGAAGCCCAGAATTATAAACAGGAAATGAACGTAAGACAGAGAAAGAGTGCAGAAAAAGTATACAAAGATTGTGAAGGAAAAAAGGATATAAAAGGAAAAATGGGTATAGTTTATAAAAATACAGTAATAAAAAAGGCTTTTTTAAAGTGGAAAAATGAAAAAACAGCAAATACTAAATACATTCTGTATTTATAGTGCAATCTTCAGTAACTGTAATGTTTATTTATATAAAACATTCTATATAATAGCAACAGTCTGCAGTTTCTCATAAAACAGATCCACTCGTGAGAAACATGAGAGCTAACAGTTTGTCTATGAGAAGGAACTTACTACCCTTCCTCCAGTATTTAAAAGCATGGTAATGCTCAAGAAAGATGGAACAGAAGTGTGGTATATTTGTTGTTTATCCTGCATTGCTATCAAGATCAAAACCTTCATTAAAAGCAAATGAGAACCTGAAACAGTAGTAACTTACTGTGATGCGCAGATTTTACATGACACAAGTCGCAAGTTGCTTAAACTGGCCCAACCTGCATTATGTTTGGGTTATGTGCATGAATATATATACTCATATATACATACACTGATCTTACTGACATACATTACACAATCAAGCAGGAGTCAAATGTGTTTCCTATTAAACAAACGCGGGTGGTCTGCTTCTCAAGTAGTATTGTGTCAATGAATTTTGTAGAGCAGTATAGTGCTCAATTCTATCTGAGCAGCCCTCTGAAGAGGACATAGCTATGTTTCATTCTTCTATCAAAGTGTATTAACATCTCTTTCAACTAGTACAGTAGAAAAGCGGTCCCATCTTTACTGGAAGCAATATTATGACATAACAGAAATACCAAGGCTTGATTACCAATTTCTTTCTATTCCACATTTTTAATTGCATCTTAAAAAGTTATGTGCCATTTGAAACAGAATATACATCATTTACCATATAGTTAAAAATCAGACTTTATCATAAGATATTTTCAGATAACACTTTTTTCCTATGTTATTTAAATGACAGGGATGTATTCTGGTTGAAATAAATGTTAACTCATGACAGGAAATCAGCAAAAATTCACTCTACCGAGTAGTCTTGGAAGCAGATGGGAAAATTCAACAGAATAGTACTAAATGGCTATAACAGTACTCATACATCTTTCACCACGGTACCCTCCCTTCTGCGGGTACCGGGTTTTTTTGGTGGGGTTTTTTTTTTGTTCTTGTTTGTTTGGTTTTTTTAACCAACAATCATGTCCCTAATGTGACAGTTATTTCAATATGCATAAATAGTTCCCTGAGCAACAGACGACTGTATGGAGCCAAGAGAGGATTTCTGATGTCCAATAATACAACTGAACTAAGGGCACAGGTTCTCCTTAATGCAGTTAGTGAATTTGTATCTCCCTCCCCCACCCAACCACTCATTCTGCATTTAATTTGTAGGTACTGATCTTCTATCCTCTTGTCATAATTAGCTAAAACTGACAAATATGTTAAAAAATGATTGGTGAGAGTCTGCAAAAACACATGTGCAGATGCAAGAGCCTTTCACAGAAATGACACACTAACAAAGTTACACAGCAGGAAATAACTAATGTTATTTTGTTTTAATTACTTAGATTATTTTAAAGAATAAAAACTGTTGATGGATTTTCTTTTATGAACTTCAGAAATCCCCTCTCAATTTTTTGCAAGACAACATGTAAAATCATCCTTTGTGTTATAAAGTTTCTTGTAAGTGCAAAATTCTGAATTTGGAAATCTGTTTTTTCAAACTCATTTGTGGAGATTGCTATAAAAGTCTCAAAAGACCTAAACCTCTATTTTCTGTTACACAAAGAAAATTACAACTACGGATGTTCTTATATCGTATTTCACCAGAAAATATCTACATTTTTAGTAGGGATGAAGTAATGAGCTACTTAATGACATATAGTATGTTTAAGTCATTTTGGTTTCTTGCCCCAAAGCTTTCTTCAATACCACTGCCACCCCACAAGCAAATTTATGCCACAAGTGATAATTTATACTTCCAAAGATAAACTTTCATCTCTCTTGCAGTGAGCCTTATGCAGTACATCAAGAACTTTTAATAAACATACATCTCTTCATTTTTTATAGTTTCTGCATATTATACAAAATATTCTATTAAATACAGATTGGGTTAGTGTTTTCTTTTTCTTCTAGAAAAAGAAAGGAAGGAATCTCTTTCCACTGACAAACTTCAAGAAACTTGAAACAGAAGGAAAAATAAAATCCTTTATATTGGCTTGAGCTTTTCTAGCTATGATTGGCAAATGTGAGGCTGATGACATTAGATTCTTCATTTAAGTTTAAAATAATGAATCAAAGTATTACTGCTCAGAGCAGAAGCAAACCACATTGTTAGGACAACAACCTAATTTAGTTCCCATGCTAGCGCTGCACTCAGATTTTGGTAGATTTTATGGAACAACACTTCACCAATAAAAAACAGATGGTCTGTGGACTGGTAAAGCAAAGTGAATATGGCATGGCAGGACTCCTCCCAGTACCTCTCTGACAAACATTAAGGATGAAATCGTGGCACAGCTGAACTCAACAGGAGTTCTGCCACTGAACTGAACATGGCCAGAATCTCATCCTCGAAAGTTATGAGTCATCCATATGCTCACTCACATCACAGCAAATTCATAAACAGGGTACTGAAATCAAATTTCATTTCAACTTAATTATTTTCAGTGATGACATATTAGGTTATTACATGAAATCATCATTTCTGGACCAATGTTGTTGCTATTAAATTTGCTGCTTCATCAAGTTTACATGCATTTTCTTCATTTGCTGCCACAGGGTTCTTTGCCATGGCCAACAGCAAATCTCAACAACCATTAACATTTAGGTACCCAAAAAAGTAAACTCTGGTCAGATTCAAACAGGCTGTATTTTTTCCAGAAGTCATACACAATCCCTAGTTTGCTATGGACTGGTTCCCAAAAGAAAGCAACACACTAGTCAACACGAAGAAGAAATAAAGGTATGTTTCAGACACCTGGATCCCAAACCTTCTGAACTGTGCTTATGACAAAGACACAGACAGTGGTTTCTGTGCTCATCGTTCAGAATGCTGCTGCTTATGATCCACTGCTGTTATGTTTCTGCATTGCAGACCTTTTCCAACTGCAGGGATCACTTCTATAATCCAATTTCTTCATGGTCAGAATGCCTTATATAAATGACATAATCCCTAGCTTGAGGATTCAGTCACAGGAGCACATTCCTTCCCTATGCTCACATTTTCAAAACCCTGTTCTTTGTACACAAGTAGTTATAAACTCACTCGTTTGATTTGTGCTCACAGATTTAAGTGATGAGGAAAAGGGCTGCTAGTGACTTGCTTTAACATTGGAGCAAGATTCATTTCTTTATGTTTCTAAAAACTATTGTCAACAAAATTCTAAGTTTTAAAAACACAATGGAACAAGGTCATTTACATTGTTGAGATCAATAGATAAAAAGGTTGAGGAGATCAAAATTACTTTGAATCATATTCTCCCTTAAAAATACATATTTAATATATTTGCCGTAGAAGCCTGAAGTCTTCTGCTTCAGGTATGTAAGGAGACAAAAATTGGCCTAATGCAGCAAACTGAATGGGTTAGTTTTGCCTATCAATTTCCCCATGATAGCAAGCAAATTACTAGAAACAAAAGCAGGTCAATAGGACTGTACTTCCTCCACTCAGTACTGTGTAAAGAAAGCACAGCAGTCTCATGATCGAATATTCTTCACATTTTCTTCCATGTAACTATCAAACACATTGCCCTAACAGAAGCACAAAAATAAAACACCAAATTCTTCAAACACCATACAAAATAAGCTCTCTCTGGCTATGTTCTTAAGCCTTAATTGGCATTTCAAATTGGCAATTGCATACAAAACACTCTACTCTAGTACGACAAATTATTCCCACTCTACTAATCCATCGGTGACCTACATAAGATGTGACTATAAAGAATCTTTTAACAATGAGATCTACTGGTATTTTAAAATCTAGTTCAATTAGTAAAGGTGGTCATTTTTAGACTCTCTCTTAACTCCACACTAATATTTAAATTTGTTTCCTCTTTGCATGCATAGCAAAGGTATCACACAAGGTGTACGCTTGTGTCAGATGCTTGGCTGTTTGAAAGGCCTTCGCCTACCTCCTTTGCTGGAAAATATTTACACCATAGCACATGGAACAGACTTGGCTGTCCTCAACGTATTCACTGAGTAATTCCCTACTAGAAGTCACTGTATCAGAGCAAGATGCGTTTGTCCAGATTCTTCTTTTCACTTAAAACAAGTGGCTAGGCCTACTATATTCCATATGCAAACCACATTTGATACCTTTTAAATTGCCAAAAATTGCTTCTTCAATGTAAGTAATATCTGTTCATTATACTGCATAATAGCTTTAATAACCAAAAGACTCATGCACACTGGAGCAGACAGAAGTACATTAGCATCATGTGCGTTCCTGTTATGAATCCACAGACTTTGATACTTAATCTCTCCTGAGATTGCAAATTTCCTCAATCTCAATGTCAGCAAGTCTTTTGAAATAATAGACATAAATGGCAAGTAAAAAACTAGGATTCAAGACCATACTGTTTGGAACACTTGAACAATATTTAAATATGGGTAATTTGTTTTATTATTTGTTCCATTATCTGAGAAAGTAATACTTCTCTGATATTTACTACACGTGGTGCACTCACAGCTGGTGGTTGCAAAGAAATCTGAATTCAGATTTCAAGATTGAGGAATTTTTGGTGATCACCCACAACAAGCTAAATTAAACCAGCCCATTAGAATTCCTTCATAAAGAAAAGCTAACAAAACATCTGTCTGGCAACAACAATACCTACCTCATTCTTACAAAACATGGTTTAACTGCAAATAGCAGACAGTTTCTGCCTTATCTGCACAGTATAAATCCAAAAGTTTCAGTATGATACTCACAACGAATTCCATAAATCATGAGAGGATCAAGTTGCTTCTTCCCATGCTTCCCCTGGCCTGAAAGGTTGGAGATGGCCTGAATTTCTCGATGGAAGAGATAATCAAGCAACGTCAGTGCCATCTTCTCGGCTGTGCGACAGTTCGTGCTGATGTGCAGCATGTCAGCAGGGGTGATGGGGCAACGGACCCGCATCTCAGGATTATTTTCGTCTCCGAGCCATGTCCCATTGGGGTAATCCTCTAAAAACAGAGATTGTGGAAATTTTAACTGTGGCACGGAATGAAACAGTCAGGTTCAAGTTACAGGCAACACTTCTTAAGTTATCATGAGCTCTTTCAGTTTTCTTCATAGTCTCCATAAACTACTTTAAAATTTAGCATGACAAATAGGCTCACAAGATTTGCTAGACATAAAAAGTTATTCTCAACTCCACATCAACAGTGACCAAAAGTTATTGCCATTCATGTTCTGGCCTACACGAGGAACTGGTGCAATTAGTCTAACTCACTCTCAGATATCTTTTTTTAAGTGACTCATACTAGAGGCCACAGCTGAAAGAGCACACTATATTCACAGTGTTCTCATTCATCAAGTTAGTCATCCCCTAAAAATGAAGATTACTGCAACCCCATAATATTCTTAAACTACAGCTAATTTCAAAAAGCCAACAACTTTGAACAACATTTTTCCCCAAAAACAACGTATTTAAATGAGTCTAAGCAAGATAAATTTAAGAAATTATAACCAATAGTGAGCAGTAACTTATTTAATAACTTAAAAAGAATATTTCAAGCAGTGAAAATCATTCAAAATGTAGCCAGAGATCCCAATCAAAATTTCAGTCTTCCTTCAAATTTACTGGCCAGTAGTCTACATTACTTCCTAAACATACAGTTTACCAAGGAACAGGCCCAGCATAAAGATAATGAATTAATTGCTAATCATCTGCCAAGTACATCTTCCTTTCTATTCAAGTATAAGGGCATTAGCAACAGAATATATTTTAATGTTACCCACTGCCAGAAGCACACCTACCTTCTCTTGTGTATATACACACACATATTTTATAAAGAAGTGGTTTGGTTTTGGTTTTTTTTTTGTCCCAGCCACTCAGTTTGGTGGGGGAAAAAAAACCCTATTCATTTTAGGAAGAATACTAAGCCCTCACTGGAAATTAATCTTTTGGAAAATGCCAAAAGTTAGCAGATTCAAGTCTAACCAGAAACTAGAACAGAGCTCATAAGGATGACCAATCCCTACTCAAGTGGTGGATGCAACACAGGACCTAGGATGAGACTCTCATTCCAGATAAAAACAAAATTTCCAGTACGAATCTTGACAATGCTAATAGGAACTGGATGGAACAACATTCCAGTACTATTTCAGAGTTCACTGACACAGACCATTTGGATTTGATTTCTGTTTGCTCAACTTTGTGGAGTAAAACAAAGCTTCCTGACTTAGGAGTCACTCAGCCCTTCCATACTAGAGCTTTACAGTATTTCATTGTTGTTTCACATCCTTCAGAATGGTAAAAATGCAAACAAGTCATTCAATTACATGATTTATCTTTCATTAAACGCCTTTGAAGTAGAGTTTCATGGTATATACAAAGTCACAAACTCCTGGTTTCCATAACGCTTCTAGTCACAAAATAGTGTGACAGATTTCAGACAGATGAGCATATCCTTTTCACATTGAACAGGACCCCTGAGTAAGCAGCATCTTTATTTCCAAGTACTGGCATAGGTTAAGCAGCCTGCATTTTACTAGAGTACAAGCCAAAAGTATGCAATAAAATATAACATAAAAGTAACTCGAACACTAAAAAACACTTTTCCAACATGACCTTTGGATTGAGTCATACCACATGTCAGATACAAGTTTATTGCAATGAATAATGACAGTATGAAGTAAACATTAGATTATGCAATACTGATATATCACTATAAACATCAGTTTATCAACTGCAATAATTTGTAAAGAAAAATATTTATAGCTGATGTATTAGCAGCTAGTCCCTCAAACTTTTTTCTGTTGAAATCAGAACTTAATGCTCTGTTCTGAATACATTTTTATACACTCACAATTTTTTTTTTTATTTGAACCTTACTTTTTATCCTGAACTATGTAATGGGGCACACTAGCTGTTTTCTGCTCAAAGTACCAGGTGCCATCTGAAAAATAAGGTGGTTCAGATTAATTATGACTTGTTTTGAATGCCACTGTGTCTGGCCTTACCACAAGTCTGGTTAACATTACCAGGGAAAACAACAGTCTGTTCCTAAAGATAAATTGACTGTTTCGTAAAAATTTGGGCAGAACTGGCAAAGCAAAAACATCTCTGGATAAATGTGATAAATGTGTAAGTTTTTCAAAGAAATCCTAGGAAGCCTGAGTAAATGATTCTACATCCTATCAAAATCTTACTTACTTACCAGTTCACAGAATTACTATTAGATACAAGAGTTACTACTACTACTTACGGAACACCTTTCACCTGCAGTCTTGTTTAACAAATGCTATCAACCTACGTGAACCAAAGATGTTTTCAGTTTGCAAAATAATCTTTTCTTTTTTTTCTTTTTTTTTACTGGCACAGAGTCCAGAACATACTGTTTTTACCACATGCAACTGTTCTTTTATTGCTAGCAGCCTAGAAAAAAGACACTATCTTGTTATTCTGACCTATGAACACAAGCCCCACATTAAATTATCTCTTGCATTTTCCTCCTGCTTTAAAAGCTTCAACAGAAAGGGGATTTGCTTTATAATCATTTTGCATTAAGTGGAACTTGCATGACTAAAGTTAACCAAGACTCTACTGTCTCACTGCAGCTACTTGAGGGCACAAAAGCTAAACTATTCCTTATCACATATAAAAATAATTCCTGCTGGCCTGCCAACACATCTGGCACTTTGCATAGAGCAAATACGATGAGATTGGCACAAAAAAAAAAAAATGGTGAAAAGAGAAGTACAGTGCCAGTTATGAGGAAGGCAGAACTGCTCTGAACAAGTGGTGTGGTATGGGAGAAGACAGGCTGAATAAGGAAAGAGGAAAAAAAGACTGGGAGTTTGATGGAAGTTGTCTCTGAACCATTATGTACATAAATACAATTGATTAAAGCTGCATCATTTGAAGTTCCTAGCACTCAAACATCCTTTTATGCTTACTGAAATGGTTCTTTACGTGTATTATCAGGCATTATATGTAATATCTAGATAGAATCTAGATGAGTCAGGTGATTTAGTACATACATTGCGATAGCCAGACACTGAGTCAGGACTCCACTAGGCACTGTACAACCGTACATAGCTTCCTCTATTCCTTAAAGGCTACCAAAACACAAATAACATGTGAAGGGCTGGGGAGGAAGAATACAGTCAAAGAACAGACTTCTCTTAAAACTAATGAAGCATAAGTGCACACACTCATCTGGAACTGTAATCACGCACCCTTCTCATTTTGCCCTGAAGTATTTTTCTTTTGTTAATTTTTCTAATAGCCTTGCTGCATTTTGAATGAATTTTGAGTGCTATGTGGAAAGATACTTCCTTGCATTTCTTTACACCAAATATTGTGTCATCAGAGAAGTGGTTCTTGATCATTTCTACTTCCAGTGTTAAAAGTCCTGACATTTTTATCTGATTTCCTCTCTGTACTCAGAAGCTCATTTCAATGACAGACAGCCTAATTTCTAGCTCCTCTTCAATGTTTTTTTAAGATCAGAAAATTTGCCTTTATCTTCATTCTACTGAATCCACAACTAGTTCACTTTTCAATGCTGTTTTCAAATCTTTTTTACTGTATTAAGTCCATTTCTTTTATCTCACAGCACAGCTGACCATTCCTCTGTTTCGGCAGGGACGTGCGAGAAGATGAGAGACGGCTGGGGCTGCTACGCAAACAAGCATTTCTATGGAAACAGGGGCGAGCGAGCTTTAAGGTTAGTATCGAGAAAACCTATGTCAAGAGAACAAAAACTAGACAGGAGTTGCTGTGGCTTTCAGACTCACTCTCCGTATGTTTATGTGTTTTCCCGCCCGGGGAGATGACAGACACTTAACTGTAACTCACATCTTTCCATTGGGATATACTCCCCTCGTCTGATATGCGAGCATTAGCAGTAAGCCTAGAAGCAAAGCCAGGCTCTGCTCTCTTGCTAGGTGCTGTCAGTCACTCCTTTAAAACAAGGAAAAACAAAAGGAAACACCTGCCCACATAAACACTTGAATTGACATGTTCCATTATTCAGAATAGTTGTGTTTATTTTACTAATGAGGCTGGGCACAAATCTGGCATTTGCAGCAGAGAAAAACGACTGATAGCTGCAGTACAAAAGCAGAAAGACGAAATAACCTTAAAAAAAATCCTAACCTACAAAAATAAACACCCATTTCTAGCAAAATTAAATAATATTTTGGCTGATGGGTAGAAGATTCAACATCATCTTTTTAAATAAACTTCTGTCAACTAGCCCAAGTCATTTGCCCCTACAAGAATTCACAGGGGTAGTGATTAACTGATGGAGACTGCAGAGCACTGGCTTTATTAACTAACAATCATTAAATACAAGGAACAGAGTGACAATCAGGCTATCTGTTAACCTACAAATCTAGCAATGTGATTTAAAGCTTGTGCTAAAAGAAAGGTTAAAGAACTAGCTTTAAAGCTGTGTTCACCGAAACCTCCTCCCACCACAAAAAGCAGTTAAGACACTGGGAGTTCTGGCAAAAGGAAGCGAACACGCACACATCCACAAACATCAGAAACCCTAGACACAGAACTGGAGTTTTTTGCCTGAGTATTCTCGTGGGGGAAAAAAGGTTTAATTTCCATGTAAATATAAAAGAAAGATAGCCAGAAGAATCTCATACTCCAGGTATAATCTTCCGTACAGCCCAAAGGATTTGGCTAACAGACACACAGTTCCAGTTAACTTCTAAGCCCCTATGAAGGTCTTTTCCAACCTAAATGATTCTATGATTCTATAGTTAGGGGACCAGTACACCGTATGAGATACTCTGAAAATATATCCTGCACTCTCCTGTGCTCATGGTTTCTTCAGTTGTCTGACAGACAACACACAGAACAAAAGAATATATATGGGTATGCAGTACCAGAGCGTACTTGTCCCAGCGAATACTGTGGTGTGCATAGAAGTCTCTGCATAACATCAGCAAGATTACTTGTTTGTTAAAAATAAGGCCTCAGTTTTAGTATACGGTTAAATCC